TTTGCTAAGTTTCTTCGCGAGCTTCTTCACTTTTTCTAGTATCCTAGCAACGACACATTTTTGCCATGCATTACTTCTAACAGTTTTATAGGCATGACGCACATCGTAAAGCCGTTGTAAAGATGTAAATCGGCCTTTTCTCGCTACTAAAATAAGAATGTTAAGTAGTTTTTTTTTACTTGCACTCGCTTGCAGTGATGCGACGGGCTGCTATATACTCAGAAGCTTTGAATGTTCGAGTAGAACATCACTTTTGTCACACTGCTGTCTTTTGCAAACGTCAAATGGACTCCCATAAAAACAAATGTGTACGATGTGTTCGAACCGCTTTGTCACCAACTCAAAGGACGTTGCACTAGTTACCCAATTCAATTCTTCTCCCATGTTGCTGTCCCTATTTTCCGTTTGCTTGTACGATTCACAAGGGTTTTGCTACTGCTGATATCACTAAACTTTCTTTTTTGCTATATTTCCAATTCTTTGAATGATAAATTTACTGGAATTTAAAAGCAAGCAATGACTCAGTTTTCTTTTGCACCGCTTGCATGCCGGACCAACATATACGTGTCAACTATTCTTCCCCTTTTTGAGAACAAAATTGGCAAAGTATTATAGCCACAGTGATGGACGCTTTGACTCGAGATGGACTTCAAAGGCACCGTCCACCCTAAGTTAAAGTTCTTGAGCTTTTAGTTGCTTACGATAGTAGGACCCCCTATGAAGCCAATGTCCAAGCCATGGCTCCAAATGTCGCTTCGAAAGCGAGAAAGTTGCTTCGGGATAACGAAGAGACATGAGGAACCTAAGTCGGCACCGCCTCCCTGCACTAAAGCCCGCCCATCCGTGCGCGCCCATCCAATCACCGTTCCGGAGAATAGGCTTGCGGGTTCTCCGGAGGGGGATTGCCGGGATCGCGGATTATCGACTTCGTATTCGGAATCAGGGACATGAGAAGGCCCCGATACGAACAAAACATGGAAGTCGAGAATCTGGTTGGATGGTGCCTTTAGCCCAAAATCGTGGGTTTAGACAAAACCCAGGAGCATGCATGATGAGCGCAACGGGCTCAGTTGAACTACTTTCGAGATGAGCCAATCAGAAAACCTAAACCTAATCTCCAAAACAGTTCATATAACCACTTTATCAAATAGGTATTCATTAGTGGCAGTCTCAGAATTTCCGACCGGAAGAGGGGGGGGGAGGGAGAGACAAAAAATTCCTATCAAAGATGCGTGGCCTTGAGCACTCCAAAGTTATTTTGGGATGTCTCCCAAAATTTTTCCAAACCGAACCCGAAAATTGAGATCCGAAAAAAATTTTATACAATACTTTTTTCTTATTTCAATTGTTACAAGTGTAAACAAGTTACTTGCACATTTTTCACATGTTAACTTTCAAAATTTCGCCGAAGAAAAATCTTGATAACCCAGGACTTCGAGTGTGAGTCTTCATCTTCAAAGACTACCTCAAAACCCCCATGACGTCTGTGACTAACAGTAAGATGCAAGATTTCAGTTAACAGACGAAGAGGAGGAATGCGGGAAAAACTTCTTCATAAGTAGAGTCTCCCATGACCTCGTTGTTTCCTGCTAAAATTTCTCGTTCCAAGGTCATCCTCAAAAACTAACTACGTTCTTCGTCTGAGCGCTCATGATCGGTCCTGTACTCCTTGTTTGTTTATGTTTAAAGTTTTTTTGTTTGTACTCTCACATAAGAACTTCTATGTGGTCAATAAATGAATAAACAAATAAATGTAGAACTGCCTTCTCTCTCACTGTCATTATACTGTGAAAAATCAATACAACCACTACGCATGCAAAACAGCAATAATACTCATAGAAAGATGAATTATTATATATGTGAAGAGCAGCAATGAATACAATTATATGCGCAGCTTGATTATTTACACAATAGAAAAACGTTTCGACTCACATCAGTGAAGCGATCATTTGAGGACTGTATCTCTGATGTTGTGTGTTTGCACTAGCGTCATACTACAGTGACCTAATGGTGTCACTGCTGCTTTCCGTGGTCTTGAATGGCCTTTTGGCGATCAGATCTTGATTTTTGAACGGTGAGATACTGTGTTTTGCTTTCACTGAATGTTTAGTTAAAACGGGATGTCTTTTACGTTACTCCTTTACTTTTCTTCTTTCTCCCCTGTTCTTCATTTTCAATGTGTCGTCAGCTGTGCATGTGACGAAGGTTTTTTTTTTGTGAAAAGTGATACATCAGTGTTGCTGACTTGCTTTCAGATCTTCCTTTCTATTTCTGACTCGCTGATAACGTGTCGTCAAATTCAATAAGTACATATCTCACAGACGTCCTTGTTTCATTTTGACATCATTTTTCCGAACTGTACAAAACATGCTTTTCATCTTTCCTGTTCGATAGGTCGAGTTCAAAGTACTAAGTTATGGAACTCGAACTTCTGGGAATTTTATCAGGTACATTCTAAATTTGATGTATTGACTCATAATAATATCAACAAAAGTCCTCCAAATCGATTTTAGAGCATCCTATAAGAAAAAAAAAGCAACCACAAGCTAGATACATAAGATCTTGGTGAAAATAGTGCGAAGAGATCGCATCGATACTCTGAGCTTTTCAACATCTGTTCTTGATGTGAATATCAGTCCTTTATTGCTTATGACGCAGATGGCTCAATCAATGCATAAACTTTGGGTTTTTCGCACTTTTGTTGATATCAGTCCATTGAAGTTGTCAGTCATAACGGACTGCGGCCATCGATGTCATTTGCAGATTGTTCTCTCGGTCTCTGATGGCGTAGAAATTACGCGCTGATGGAGTTAATAAGACTCAGTATATTGGTTGTTTATAGTCTGACAAATTTCATTTGCTTTTTTATCTTAATTTTTTTAGCTAATCAATTTTGCGACAGTTGGAAACTTCTTTTCTGAGATTTCACTTTCTAGATTCGCAAAAAAGTGACAATCAACCACTCTGCTATGTTGGCTAGCTTTTCACTAAGTTGTAGTCAATTGCAGAGCTTTTTTAGTTGAGTCCAATGCGATCAATGTAAACAACACTTGAGACATATGATGTTCCTGTCATCGGATTTATTGACGAGAAGTTTCGCAGTCGTAAAGGAAGTGAGCGAGTGTATGGGAGGTACAAGAAATGAAAACCCAGTTCCCATTCTATTTCTCCATGCTTTGTAAAAGATGTATTCAACCATCTCTTCAAACTTTATTATTGTCGATTTGTCGAGAGTGTACTAGCGCACGCAACAAGTTCGTTTTGGAAGCCCAAAAGGCTATTCATGTGATGTTGAACATCCCGACGTACGGTATATGCCCAACTTCCATCGGCTGCGAGATAACGTGCTACAAACAAACAGGGCCCTAATCTTGTTTAAAGACCTTATTTTCGACGTATTTTCTTCAGACACACTATCAAGAGTGAAATATCAAATTTTTTCCCGGTGCAGCATCTCTCTTCTGTCTAGAAACTTCAAAATTGCTTTTTTTAGTTGACTCTTATATCACTGGGGCTATTTTTTATGCGGAATTAAGGTGAACTAATTGCGAATTCCTTTCTTGCATAGTTACGTAAGGTAGTCACATAGACGTATCTTTTCATTAATTACCTCTTTTCTATTATCTTCTTCTTCTCACTCAGATAAAGCATGAGCAAAACCGAAGTCACGGATTTGCCCAAAAAATTAGCCGGTGTTGATGTGTGTTAATTCCAAAACAAACGGTTTCGTTCACTATTCTTGATTTTTGTCGTTCCCAATATCTTCAGCAGAGGGTGTTTCGCCACCGTTTGTGGTATTTCGAGGAGAAAAGTTTCTGCACCAAAATTGTATTATTTGTTTTGAGATATGAATTTGATCCAACAGCTGAAGCATGCCTTACAGTTCAGTAAGCATGTGCTTCTTTGACTTTTTGTTCTCCCCAAAGATTTTCTGTGCGGTCCGCAATGTCATTCTTGGAATGATCGAAACATTTTTCGCAGTAGGTTTCCTAAGAACATGATCACACAAGGCACTCATCAAGACGTATCCAAGTAAATCACAAAGTCAACTTCCCTGCTGCACTATTCTTGAATCTAAACTGTGCACCTAGCGCAAGTGTGTAGAAATGAGCTACTAGATACCAAAGTCGATATCATTATAATGATACAACGGAATCGCCAGGAAAAATGACCTTAATCCATATGACTTTAGCTAAGCGATTTTGAAGTTTATAGGGAAAATTTACACTGTAACTAGTAAGAAGTTCTATAGTTTCTTTATGGTAGTGTGTTTGAAGAAAAACCGCTGATAATAAGGTCTTCTAACAAGATTTGGGGCTCTGTTTGTTTGGAGCACGTTATCTCGCAGCCGATGGAAGTTGGGCATATACCGTACGTCGAACATCCCTTGTTGCCTCTGCCTAACTGAAATTCAGTGGCAAATACGAACTTTGTGGTGATTGATCTCTTTCAAATCGAAGGTTAGAATGTGTGTTGTACAATGTTAGAAACTAATAGTTGCGAGGGATTAAGAGTTTAGCGAATTGCTCATAGTTGCTGATTCATTGAACGTCGTTACGTTGTCCGTTGTACTTCTCGCGAATGCGAGAACGATCGTTGTTGCCAAACGTTCCTGTTCTTTATCGATTTGTATTTCCTTTTGTTTCTAGCATTTCTTAGGAATCGTGCATTCTTAATTACTAGGTGAGACTGTACTATGCGGCACTATTGACTGTCGAATCGTAATCCGTATTAATCTGCTGTTTTTTGATTTTCTATCGTATTATTTTTCTCTCCATCCAGTTAGTGCGAGATTACACTTTGTGTAATGTTTGCCCTATTCACATTGATCTTGCGTCACCGAACAAAAAATTGTTTACACCGTTGTTGTTTACAGTCTCTCTCATCACTTATGTTCGCTGCTCTCGTTTTTCGTTCGTTGATATTACGCATGTGCCCTTTTTGGCTTGCATCCTTTCAATTACTTCTCATCATCTTCGTAAACGTCAGAAGGCGCCTCTATGTTTATCCCTTTATTCCCTAGCGAGCTCCATCTAATCTTCATCCGTTGCGCCTCTCAACTTGATTAACTATCGGGGTATGATACCTTGCGTGATCGTTGATCTTTCAGAAGCCTATTTCCATAGCCTGGCTATGTCAGGAAATGATTGGCCACCATGGGAAAGATTTAGCGATTGGGTGCATTCAATATGTGTAGTCACGTTCGATTTGGAACTTGGACAGGCTTTAGAGGTAAGCTATAAAGATCATTTTCTCATTTCTTTTTCTTATTATTTACCCTTACTCCTTTTCTTTGCTTCCGTTTTGAAGGAACTCAAGCGCTTCTAACTACAAAAAGCATGTATTTGTAGCTTTTAGCTAACATACGTCCGCAGAGTTATGCTGAAAATATCATGAAACATTCTGCTCATTAGCGTCGTTCCTGCAATTTCGTTGCCGAAAATATTTTTCTTACAGTTGAGCTGCGTTGTTAAATGCAGTGAGTCATTTAACGTTCCGTATCATTGCTCATTCACCCCGTGAAATTTTTCTAATTTGCGCAACAGCTGTCGACGGATAGGTATATCTTTTAGTTGCAGTCGGTTAAGAATTTCATTCGGGGAGGAAGAGGGGGCAACAGTTTGTCTTTTGATTCGAAGGTGGCTTTAGCCATCCCTTCTGAAACTCTTTCAGGGTGGGAGGAGGGGACTGCTTTGGTATACAATACCTGATAGATGCTTTTAAGGTCATTTACCCTGGAGATGCCGTGCTGAGCAATCAGGAAAAAACAAATATTTGCTATTTGGCTTTCCCAGATTCTAATAGTGGGAATACCAAGGACACTAATTTCCACTTCCGAATCAGAAGGCGAGTCGACTGCAATTTTCTGGCTATGGATTTATTTCGTATTGTTCAGAAGCACAACAGAAATTACCCCTGCTCAGCGGACGTTGCTGGAGCGATCATCTCCGTCGGCATCGTTTGATCCCAGCTATCTATTCGGCTTTGTACATTTTCGTCAACAAAAAGATCCATCCATTCAACGAGGTTACTATCAGAAGGTGAGCAAGGCATTGACTTAGCTGAGGTAGATCGTGGATTTGAGCCTATCTTAATTTTCAGAGTTTGGTGCTGGTTACGTTACTTCCCTTTTTCAATCTTTTCTCTACTGTGATAGAACGGATAGCATTGCAATTTTTTGAAAATGGTGAACCTGCCATCGAAGCTGGTGAGGGTTTTGTGTCATTGTATCATCAATCTACGAGATAACATTCAAGCAGCGGATTTTAGCATGCCATGATATGGATCAGTGGCCGTCACCATGTGCTGGGGAACCACTATCATTGCCACTTCTCGGATCTCTACTTAGGATACGCATTCCTTGTCAAGCTGACTTGCCCATAGATTTTCGTATGATCCCTCCGTTACAGGTAAACACATCATCGTCGCATTATTAAGACAGTTTAAGGCAAAATTGTAGGAAGTCAACGGTAGCAATTTGGTGACGATATCATCAGTCCATCAAGTCGATATGTATAAGGCGCTGCACACAGTTGTTACTCATCTGCAATTGCTATGGGAGCTGGTGTTGATTGGTGAAGTTAGTAGATTATAATTATTTTATTGAAGTAATACATCTCTTTCAGCCCCTTCTTGTGATGGCAAACACACCGCAGCGATGTTCTTCGATCGTTCAGGTTAGCACTTGAATTTTCTTATCTTATCAGAAAAACATCGCTGCATTTTTAACTTATTGTGGTCCTAGGTGCTCGCTATAGGAACTTTCATAGGTTTTATTGTGTATACCATCAGTGGTTTTGAAATTCAGGCTCTTGTTTCTCTTATCGCTCCACTGCGTTACCACAACGATTATCGACCTTTCTTCACCATTCACGATTCTGAATTCAAGGAATACTCGTCAAAGAGTCGAGCACCGTGAGTTGCTTCGGCTTTCACATGCTTCCTGTTGTCTTATACCATTAAAATATCGTCTATATTCAGTCCGCGAGTGATTTTGGGAGTAACGAATCCGTTTTTCATCAAGGCACTTGATCACTGGCCGCATATTCTGAAAGTCGGTGAGGTGGTCGAAGGCAGCGACACTCCAGAAAAAGAAGAGAAGAGGAGGTAAACAAAATCGTTCTGTCAGCAAATATCAATTATCAACATTTGCTATGCCAGGAAAAATTGGGACGGTCGAACGCTCGACACTAAACCAGGGATATATACACAGTACAAGTCATATCTTAACAAGGATAAGAGTGTCGCTAAAAAGCTGCTCAAGGGAGATCGACCATCAGAGGTATGTATCGACTAAGGCTTTTCTTTGTTTAGCCATATACCAATGTTTAGGTACAATGCAATATATTGCGCAGACATTTCCTAGAATTGACACAGAGTTTCATGATACCCCTCGAGCGTTATTTATCTTCCTTGATGCCATTGCGCAAGGAAATGTCACCATTCAAGGTAAGTACGCATTTTCCTGGTAATGCTATTGCATGTAGAATAGCGGCTCCTGTTTTTGTTTGCTAACGAAAGCTGTGGTCTACAGAAATCTGCGACGTGCATGTTGGTGTCCATTACTGTTACTTCTAGCATACTTTTTGATTAATTTTTTTGCATATACCAACAGTTGCAGTTTAAAAACTATCGTAGTTATGCCTTTTACCCCAATGTGTGCAATGTATGCCTTTCTACCCCAATGTGTGCATTATTTGAGGAAATTTTGCGTTATGCATGGTTCGTATCCTGCGATCTGAATGACACAAATGTAGGTAATATTGCACATTTCTTTCCACGATTCAGGCTATACCAAGCGCTCGTCCATTCTCTATAGATGACTTTTTGCTGACATTAGATGGCTCCGGACCGTCGCTGACTTGTGGCATCAAGGGTGATTGGCATGGTAGGTTATTATGCGTATTATGCGTAAAAGACTTTTCTCTGCATGTTTTGTTCAGGTCTTTACCGCCGGTTTGTAAGCAGCGCAAACTTCGTTGGATGGCTGGCGAATCGTAATAAGGACGTCAATGCGCAGTTGAAAGCACAGTATGTAGAAGCGTTGTGCTCTGCTGATTTAGGTATTTATATGATTCTTCAAAAGTACTTTTATTGAATGGTTGATCGAATGTTTCAGGATCGAAAGTATTGGCTACAAAACATCACGTAGAAATAGTTGATCTGGTACTGAGAGTTCGGCAACGAATAGTAGAACTGGAAGAAGCGAATGAGAAGCGGCATCAGTTGGTACGCAACAATATTTGACTTTGTGTAATGTTGTTCTGCCAACCAGGTTGTTATGGTGTACTTTTATTGCCTTACGTTTCGACAAATATCGTCTTCTTCGGAGGTCTCTAGTCCTTCGTGAAGTCAGTAGTCCGCACAGAAGTGACGGACATCACTAAATAAAAGTGGAAAATAGTGGAAAATAGTGAAAAGTGGAAAAGTGGAAAATATTTGACTTTGCTATTCCACTAGTATTTTCACTTTCGTGTTTCCAGGTCCGTCAAATCATCTCGATATTGTCTGGAGTTGACGAAGAGTTGAAGCAAGTGTTAATGTCTAATTGTTCATTGCGCGAAATTGTATCATAGCGTCGTTAGTCTACACAATTCATTTTTTCCCATGTTGTGAGAGAGGTGATTGGCTAGTTAAATTGCTACGTTCTCGTATCTTCTCGAGCTTCAATCACAGATCACCGTCCTTGTATTTTCTATTATATTACCGTTTTCTTGAGATTCTTATATGGGTCTGATATATTACAGTTGTCTTTAGTAGCAAGTGCCGATCACGCAAATCTCGTTCAGTTGATCTGTCTGGAATATCGATTCGCCTCCCTATCTTCGAGGCTTCGTTGTTATCCATTTCTCTTGAGATCATATTTCGAATTACTTATAGTGTGCTGGAATGACGTAATATCTTCCGATACGGGTTTATATGGTGGTAGTTTCATTGTATATCTTTTATCACCTCCTACTTTCACGAAATGTTTCATAGTTTTCAAATGTTGGTGATCCATGTAAATTATCAGGTATCAAACACATGTTGATGTGCGAATTCATGTGATCGTGTTAAGATATCCAAAGGAAACTTTATGCGTACTTGCCAACAACAGCTGAAGTTATTAGAGGGAGTCATCGTTCTGGCTGGCGAAGTTGGACTTCGGCGCTGGGCCATTTGAGTTCTAGCTCTGTTTATTCGTATCACTACAGAAACACTAGGGTAGAGCATGACCAGTTGGACCCATGTCCTATAGTTAGCATCTTCGGCTGAGAGTACGTATTGTCGCATAACCGAAGGGATTGCAATCATGATCGATTTTCAGATGTGGTGTCCCTACTTTGCAAGTCGAGATATGGGAGATCGTGAAGGTATTCACAGTGGGGAGGCAAAAAGCTGATTGCCCAGTTAAGAGCTGCATGAGCTAAGGATTCCATGAGTGTTTTCAAGGCCCTTTCACTGAAGGGAAGCAGGCAGTCATCTTCTTCTAAATTTAAAAATGCCGCAAACCATCGCTAAACAAAGGAAGTCTTGCAAAGATCGACCTCCGCTGCTTCCAGTTTGTGTTAGAGGAATACTAGGAAGACAATCGAAGGCGATTCAGGTTTGCATGTTTTAAATTAGGTCATTCCGAAAGTTCTGAAAGGTTGCAGTGATAAAATCGTATGAAGAAGGTTATTTAAGGTTTAATCATTTTGAGTAAGGCCGACAAAAATCTGGAACAAGAAAAAGCCGAAATTGTTAGCATAAGTAAGTGAGCATGCTGATTACGAATACAATATCAGGTCTTGGAAATGTCTATTACTTTTATTGATTTTATCGATTTCTTGCAAAGTTTGAGCTACGAGGCTAGGAATTGGCATAGAGTGGGGGGAGGGGGGGGGGGGAGGGGTAAGTGAGCTTGCTGATTACTAACACAGAGAAAATAGGGAACTGGCATGTAGAAGTGGACACAAGGAAAGGTTGTGCAGGGATAGGGATGGGACCTTAAAGGCACCGTCCACCCAGATTTTCGACTTCCACGTTTTTGTCGTTTCAGGGCCTTCTCATGACCCTGATTCCGGATATGAAGTCGAGAATGCGCGAAAACCCCGACAATCCCCGTTTCGGAGGACCAACAGGCCGGCTTTTCGGAGCGGTGATTGGATGGGCGCGCACAAATGGGCGGGCATGGATGGGGGTCCTCGTGCATCTTCGCTATTTAGAAGCGATTTTCTCGCTTCCAAAGCGGCATTTTGCGCCGCGACTTCGGCATTGGATTGATAGGGGCCCCTACTATTATATACTACAAAAGCTCAGCACCCTCAACTTAGGGTGGACGGTGCCTTTAAATAGTGTTTTGACAGTGCCGGGCGGAGCCGGGAAAGCCGGCTAGTTCCATTTAAGATTATCAGGGTGTATCCTGATCTAGCCGAAACAAATGATGGTTCCTGCCATTGCTGAAGGAAGGAAGGACAAAATGCGCGGAATTTCGAAGTTATCATCACTATAAGCTCCTGCAGGACGAAGGCGGTCGGTTTGATGTGCGACGTGGCTGTGACGCGCCTGTGACGCAGCTGTGACGCAGCCATGTCGCAGCCGTTGCACATCGAACCGACCGCCTTCGTCTTGCAGGAGTTTATACATAAATTCTGTGAATTTATGAAACGAAATTAGACTGCTATATAGGCTCAGTGCAACATTTTCAACATTTGGTCCCCTAGGCTTGAAGAAATCATAAAACTATAAGTCATAATGAAATTGGAAAAATTATAATCCCCTTCTTGGAGTAGAGCTACAGGCTTGCGATAAATCATGTGATCGAATCCAAAATCTGGATTCAGAATGGAATTTCTTACTAATACTTCAGATGTCAACGGCTATCTTGGTCATACTTGCTCGACCAATTCTTAATTTTTGCCCTTTCACTGAGTGAAGTTTTTGGTTCAAAGCTCAGTCGTTTTGATTTCCAGTCTCAGTAATGCATTCATGCTTCACTTCGCGCACTAAGGCGATACTAAAATGTCACTGAATAACGAAGGAGCTTTCTAATCTTATGCTTGATGTGGTTGGATTACAAAAAAGCGGGTGGAGGACATTAGGTCACCGAAAGTGGGGGAGGTCCTGCGCGGACAATGCAGTGAATACTCAGGCTGTGCATGTATTGGCATGTGTATTTATTGCAGATGTCCGGCGGGACCGGCGACCTAATGCCTCCACCCCAAAAAAGCTTGGCTACAGTATGCAACAATATCAATAGATACATTTTCTACGCACTCAGTGTGGACCAAATAAAGACAACAACAAGAGATATCACGGAACGAACTTGTGGTTATAAAACTGCAATGGGGGACTGTCCAAGTCAGTTTTGGTCTATCCAAGAAATCCATAAATGCATTAGCTTGCGCGCAATATTGTGTGTATATTTCTCTTTGAGTCTACAAAGCAAAAATTATTGTGTTGCTACAAAAGTTCTACCCATTTATCACCTCTTTTGAATTATCCTAATTTCACGCGTATAAGGCGCGGGGGATTTTTTTTCCAAAATCGACCAACCCAGACAAGCCAAAGGACTTTACAACCAAAGGACCCCGAAATACAGTGAAGCGGCTGAGCGGCTCGCTTGAAAATTCAAAAAGTGCGCCTTATACGCGTAAAATTGGAATACCAATTCTGGAGACAAAAACCATTTTTCATGAATCATGTCTATACAGTTTGGATGAAAGCCCCTGTTTTCTAGTTTTTTCGGAAATGTTTTCGTTTTCATGGGAGTTGTTCATTCTGTGGATCACTTACTTTGGAAGAACAATGACTGTAAAAATTCCCTTGTAATTAACAAGCAAAATTTGAATTTTTTTCCAGCAGCGGATTTGAATTACAAAATGCTCAAAATATAATTTCAGAGAAATTTTAACTTGGAAATTCTTAGCATGAACACGGCTAGTCCTTGTGCTCTTTATAAGTACCATAAAAATCATACAACACCTTTTAACATAGCCTCACCCTTTGGTCAATTCTGGTTATGAAAGTGGAGAATGATAATATGTAAAGTGGCCACTTGCAGCGATGGTGAATACTTTCCATATGTCGATTGTAATACTATGTTTATAATAGATCCATTATCACCTGACAATTTTTATTCACTAGTATAGATCAGCTCAGTAAAGATTCATGTTGGTTCGGTAGTATCACCTCCTTTTGGATCTAGTGACTGTTGACCAGGTTCATTATTTCTAGTGTGTTGCGCCTTTTTTTCATTATTTTCTATGACTTTTACGTAGACTTTTTGACTAGTCGTTGACGCATTTTTGTGCAGTAATAAAATAAAAAAAATAAAACAACGCAATCATGGGCCTTCCACTTTATATAGTAAGGTTTGTCGGTGATGAACAAATCAAAACACTAGAAAAGTATATTTTCTATCACCTCAGGTAGTGGAATCTTAAAAAAAAACAAGTGGAATTTTTCAAATTTTTTTGTGCTTTTGTACAAAAAAGCGAGCAGTGTTTGTGCAATTCTACTACATTTCAAATGAAGCAATGGTTTAAAATAGAGATTTCTGAAAGAATATGGGTTTCGCCTAGAAAGTCATCCTCGCTGCTACTGCAGTGATCTTTGAATCATAGAAATGTTGAAGATTTGTAGATTGTAACACAGTTTATTACATTCATAATGACATTTCTGGAAGAGTTTTGGTGAGTTATAATGAACTGAAAACGAGTAAAACTGTGAAATGATCCAATATAACGAAACAACTAAACCAAGGATAATTGAGCAGTCAGGAACTCAAAAGCAATGTTCAGGCTAAATCTACCCCCCCCCCCCGCCTCCCACAGTCTCCGATTAGTGCCGATCCTGAATGTAGTCCCCAGGAGAGGGGCATCTGCGTTGGTCTGGTCCTCTAGTGTTGTCTCTATGGATAATGGACCTGGAACAGTGGAAGTGCTATCAAGCCACGCCCAGACCCTATCAAGCTCCGCCCACCCATGTACTGAAAGCAGCCTCGCCCTCAAGATAGGGCCCCTCGGAAACGAGTTTCTGGGGGTTATGGGCAATTTGAACGCCATAACCGTAATTAAAGCTGCGAAAAGGCCCCTGAATGGCAAAACATGGGAGACGACTGATCTCATCAACACTTCCATTAGAAAATAGAAGTTCTAGGTTGTTGGAAGTAAGGTAGTGTGTCTCTTATTGTTAGAATCATATAAACTCTTTTAGTCCAAATATCTTGCGTCGCTGTGAGAAGTGGTTGTGCAACTGCAGAACGAACACATGCTTGTTATTTAGGCACGGCACAATTCTATCGAGCCGTTCATCAAAATTCTTGCTTGTTATTACGAAAAGCATCATGATTTCTAGGTGAAGATTCTTGAAAATTTGAAACTATTCTTTTTCATCCACAGCCTCACGATAACTTTTGATCCTTTACCTTTTTACACCACAAAATGCAAAAAACTAAAACTTTATTTGGCTTCTTGTCTATTTCGCAGAAAATCTCATCATGGTTGATGTACATCGATTTCTTCTTGTTAGAAGTCTAATAACTGATTTTATTAGGGCTTCTGAAACTAATTGATGATTTTCCAATTTTCGCTGTCTGAAACTTCCCAGTCAACAATTTACTCCATCGTCTTTACATTGACTTTGCTCGTTACAGTACTTTCTCATTCAAATGTTATTTGTCAGAAATGCTTTCAAACGTGATAATAATACATTTACATAGTCTTTTCCTTGGTTTTAAGCTTTCATACTCGAAGCGGGTTCTACAAAACAACTTTCGTCATTTTGCAAGAAACGATTATCAAATATATAACATTCGAAATATTCAATCCGTCTTATGCCCTTTTTTAGCTAGCACGCTGCTTCTCTCAAGCAATACATCTAATTTCCCAGGTAAATGTATCGGAGAAAGCGTCTCATTGTATCAGGTCGATCCGAAATTAATGTTACTTTTTTCAAATGAACGCCACATTTGTGGAACCAATATCTCGAAGAGATTTCAAAAGCATAGTATCACTTCATCCTTTTTTGAATTGTTTTAATTTCTTTTCATAATATTCAATGAGCTCTTGAAAACTTACCAAACTCTGCGACCCATGCTTTTGAGATGGTCAAGTTCACAATTTCCCTTGCCTTTTGTAATAATAAGCGGAATGTCCAAGTAATTGGACGGTTAGAGCAAACCCTACAGGCAAAACAACATTATCTCCTTTTCATTACTAGTAAAATTTTTTTAATAGAATTTAAACTGATGCTAACAATTTCCATAATTGGTCAACTTAAGCCTCGTAGAACATCTAAGGGCGAACAGCTCGGGTGCTACTCAATGCAGCTTTTTCTCCTCTTTCTAATGGATGTTCTTCGTTTTCGATTCGTGGAGTCTTCAGCTATAAAATCATCATAATTCATGTTTTCGAACGCGTCCCGGGCTGTACTCGAGAACTCGAAATTTGATATTTCGAACTCATAAACTCTCATGCTTTGTAAAATTAGTTCTGAATCATAATATCACCGTAGGGGTTTCAGCAGAAGAATTATTGATGTTTGATGATGTTCTGGGCTAACGTAAGCCTGGAAAAATGCCATCGTTTTAGTAAAGATTTTTCTGGAAAAATATGGCGAATTATGGAGAGAAGAAAAAATTGTATCCTGTAGGGTTTGCGCTGTGTATCCATTACTTGGACTCCTTCCAAGGTTTACTACAAAAATTAAGGAAAATTATGAAACTTGACCATCTCAAATAGCATGGGTCGCAGATTTTGGTAATTTTTGAGAGCTCATTGATATCATGCAATGAAATTAAACTATTAGAAAGAGGATAAATTGTTGCTACATTAAATGCTTTTAAAATCTCTTAGAAATCTTGGTTCTACGAATGTGGCGTTCATTTGAAAAAAAGCGACATCACTTTTGGAACGACCTAATATTAAACTTTACATTTCTTCCATTTTCATCTTAGGAATGAGAATTATCATAGGAGAGAAAAGAGTATCTCTTTATTTTTTCGCAAGAGCTAGCAGAAGATATCTCGTTGTACTCGCTTGTTCACTTCTCCATTTTCTGAGTTAAAATTGCCCCAGTTTCCCTCCCAATAACAAAGTATTTCTTCTTGACTCATTCTTGCAAGACAACATTTTTTCTTCGGAATTGAGGTTGCTGTTGGTAACAAATTTTAGCAGAAAACTTTATCACTTGGCACATTAGTTGAAATTTTTTTCGCGACCGCACTTAGACGATGCTTTTTCAAAGCTGTATAAATTATTATGTTTTTTACTTGAATAACATAGTTTCGAGTTATTCCTAATATTTGCGCCTAAATATTTCATTGTTGATGATGTCGTATTTTACTTTTTCTATCTGCCCTGTCTATTAAGCAATGGAGGAAGTGGAAAATGAAGAATGTCACAAACTACATGACTGCCGTTGTCATCCTTGGAACAAGCTGCCAATGGAGATAAAACTCGAAATATTGAATTTTCTGTCACTGCCGACGCTAAGAAAATTTATGTTCCTGAGCAAAGAATGCTTGAATCTTGTCACAAACATGAGAGTGGATTCGATGTCAATGCATCTTGATGATAATACGTTTATCGGAGATAGGAAGGTACTAATTCTAAATATTAATGTAATTTACCATATAAACTCCTTATTTCCAGAATACAGTCACGGTGCGAATATCACGTAAAATCAAAACCCCATATTTGAGCTGCTTTGTGACACATTATGATCTTCAATTCCAAGATTTAGACAGTGGTGGTTGCTTTGTTGCAAGGTAGGCTTTCTGAAAATTTTCCACCTGTTAGCAGCCGCCCCCTAATCATGATAATAAAGGTGAACCACTGAGCTCAACAGTTCTTACGATGGCTGAAAAACATTAGAGGCTTTTTATTCTCAAAGGCGTCGTTCACCCAAATTCTTGATTTCCGCTTTGGTCGTTTCGGGACATTTTTATGTCCCTGATTCCGCATATGAAGTTGAGAATGTGAAAACCCGACAAATCCCGTTTCGGAAAACCTGCAAGCCGGCTCTCCGAAGATTGGATGGGTTTGCGCGGATTTGCGGGCATTACTGGAGGGGCGGTGCCGACTTGGGGTCCACATGCGTCTTTGCTATTCCGAAGCGTTTTTCTCGCTTCCGAAGCGACATTTGGCACCTCGATTTGGGCATTGGCTCAATAGTGGGCCCTAGTATCGTAAGCTGCCAAAAGCTCAACCTTTCAAAATAGGATGAACGGTGTCTTCAAGCTTTGAGTTTGGGAAACACTTTGACTTTCGGTCATGTGAAGGCAAAACTTGGCACAGCTTTTTTGAGCCAATCGCGATAGTTATTCAGTGCTAAGAATGGTGGTAACACTTCGAGAACACTTCTTTTGAAATCCATACCTATGCCTTTAGAGAAAACTGAATCATCAGAGCACAGTTTTACTAGAATACTATGGTAGAAGATACCTGAGTGGTCTAGGATAACTATTAGGTTGTCCGGAAAATAATGTCGCACCTTGTTTTGACACAGTATCGCAGCAGGGTGCGCACGAAAGTAAGTAAGTGGGGTATATGCCGATAGATCAGAGCAAGCTCTACAAAATGAAGCTCGAACCTTTGCGCCAGGTTTGATTTGCGTGAAGTTTGGAGCCAAATTCCATAAAGCATCAAAGATCTAAATCGTAAAAAATCGTACCTCCGTTCAGAGAAGTCCTGGGAATCCCTAACTTGCTCACGCATGGCTTGTTATACGAGACACTCGTATTCACATTTTCGCGGTTTTCCATTTCTGAAAATTGAGAGAACCAAATATTTTTGTTGAAGCAATTCTAGGCTTTCTCAAACAAACGATTCTGTAGTACGAACCTTTGGGAGTATAACCATGAATTTTCAGCTTTAGATAAGCGCTAGTTTTCGAGAAAAATCAAATTGTTTGCAAAAAACCCGAAAAACGCGACATATTCGCACTTTTGACCTATTTTTATTTCTCGTACTGTAGTCGTGGAAAAATACCACAAACTATACAGGTGAATGTCTAGTGTAGAGAGTACATGCTGTGCAAACTGGAGATCCATAAGACGTCTATGAACGGAGATACCATTTTTTGGACGTCTAAAATTTTTTATATTTTGGATTCGAACTTCAGGTGGAGCACGATTTCCGCGGAGGTTTGTAAACTATCTTGTAGAGCTTACTTTGCACTATCAAATGATATCCCATTCCTTTTATTTAATGGTCATTTGTCGCGGTAGATGCCATGCGACATTATTTTCCGGACAACCTAATAGATATGAGAAATGGGAGGGAGAGCTCAAAAAAAGTCGAAATGCTGTGAGGGAGACTAATAATGAGATTTGTCCAGACTCGCAATTGTTCCATTTCATTCCTTTTCGAGATCTATCTCCTCCCCTCCTTTCCCATCTGCTTACATCCTTACCAGCCCTTCTTGATATTCTGTTGAAATTTGATTGATCAATGAGGATCAAACGTTTCTAGGGAAGTGATCGAAGATAAAAGGAAGGTACTAAAAGTTGGCATAACCTACCCCGAAGAAACGAAATATACAGCTGCTCTTCGAGTGTTTGCGCAGTTCACAAAGTGGATCAAAGCGGAAAGTTTATGCGTAACCATGGTAAGTGACAAAGTTTTTTGGTTCCAGTTCCAAATCGGACTATTTCAGTCCCCTACGGATGCGGAAGTGAATAGGATGCGCGACATGATCCCCGAAACGCAGAAGTTTTCTTGCAGTATATTTGGTATTGAAACACAGAATCCGTTATTAGTGAGCCTATTCATGGAACATCTACAACCCGGTTGTAGTCTTCTCATGAACGAATATACGCAACTGGATGGAAACGAATGTCTGCTGAATCGAGAGTTCTTCGATACTGATGTTGTGAGTCTGAGCTATTCTACTAGTTGGTGCGGTTGATATGGAAGATTAGGGTAGTGGATGCGACTGAATATCTTATATAAATATCTTACCCTTTGACACAACTGGATTGGCGGCTGGAAGGCGGGGCTTCGCGACCTAGTAGAGGATGATCACAGAGCACATGTGCGGGAGAGACGCTGACTGCCTCGCGGGCACGAGCGACCTTAATTAGGTCATTAAGCTCCTGTTCCAGCCGCCAATCCAGTTCAGTTAAAAGTCACATCTTATACATTTTATACATGTATAATTAGATTCATTGATGCATATCGTCAAATCGTTTCTAATATGTGAGCCTGCACACAACGCGCGGCGACGACGACATCTTTATCGGTAGCTTCTCAGTTATATTTGTAGTATAACAGACAGTAAAAGCGTGAATATTACGCCCAATCAAACGAAAAGATTTAAGGAAACAGGGAGAAAGCACTGAAAATGCGCAGGTTCTAATTTTACAAGTTCGTTAACACGTTGACGACGAGCCATTTTTTGAAGGTCTGTCCCTGTGGACGAACCCTCTCCGGGCATTTTCACAGCCGGCTGCACATATATATGCATGCATCTATGCGTGAGATACACAAATGCAAGTGGGCGGATCAGCTCCGCCCGCTTTTGGCAAGCCCCGCCCACTTCTCAAAAATGCTGAAAATTGCTCAAAATCAATGAATTCGTTCAAATTCCGGCATTTTTGAAAAGTGGGCGGAGCTTGCCACTGGGGGAGTGGAGCCTGCATTACGGGGGGCGGGATCAAAATTAAGATTATTTGAGGTTCCCCTGTCATCTATGAGCTTTTCTATGCGATTTAAGAACGAAGAAAGTTTTTTGTAGAGGGCAATGGAGTGGGCGGGATTTGCCAAAAAGGGGGCGGGGCCAACATGAAATACCTTCGAGCCTAACTTGATTATATGAACACAAATTGGAACCATTGTGCACATTAAAACTGATGTTTGGGGTGTCGCGCACCATTGCGCGACATCGTCCACAGGGACAGACTGCCTGTCGCGCACCATCGCGCGACACCGTCGTCAACGTGTTAAGTAGAGCGCATAGTGCGCGATAGGCATATTAAGTTACAGAAGATTTGAGGATAGTGCTTATCCTATCAAAACCAGTTTGATGAAAACATGAGATTTTGGAGCTTCTTGATATAGTGATCGTGTCGAATCACTTCCAGCAAGTAATATATCTTTGATTATCCAGGTGTAGTAGATTCAACAGCAAAAAATTTTCGGGCATGTAGTTTTTTTTACACTCCCATCTCTTTGTTTCGTAATTTTTTGCTATTTACGTTATGCTGTTTGTCTTGTCAACTCTTGAGGTCTTTTCATCTCGCTTACTCCTTTTGTCTTCGTTCTTGATTTCCATAAGTAGAAATTAAGGCGGAAATATTTATCATCTCATCGATCTGTAGAATATCAGGTTTTTATGCTGAACCATCCGATTCCAGGCGAAATGTTCCCCTTCACTAAATATCAACGCGCTAACAGAGATTACGGACGACCAATTGCTTAATCTTCAAGCTGATGTGATATTTATAGCTAGTAGTCATATCACCTCGCGAGCAGTCAATCAGATTATCAGGGTACATGTTTTTTTTTCTTGGAGGATGTTGTTATGGTGCTATTGTGACATTTAGGAATGGTTCGAAGGTAAGAGGAAAATTAGTCAAATGTTCTTCGACGCAATGAAGCAGCCATCAGAGGGTGTCTTGACCGATATCGACCCAGCAAACTTTCGCACGGCTGAGGAACTTCTGGAAATGTTGGTGATGCCTTTCTTTCACACCATTTAAAGGCGGTGTCTCGGCAGAATTTCGTTTCCCAGTTTTCCACCTTTTCAGGGCCTTCTTGCCATGAAGAATCCATATCTAGGCTTTTCAGCAACTGAAAATAGCGGAATTGAGCTTCTTCCGAAGCTTTCCAGATCCACATTCATTGAAGATATGCCGCAAGTCGTTCGAGCCCCACCTCCCTTGTTCCGGACCCCACCCACTTACACGTATTTTTTCACTACTTCCTCTTCCTAGAAAGCTTCGGAAAGAGCTCATTTTCGACATTTTCATGCGCCGAAAAGCCCAGATATGGATTTCTATGGCGAGAAAGCTCCAAAAAGATGAAAAACTAGCGAACTTAATTCTGTCGAGACGCTGCTTTCAATTCGTAATTATTTCAAAGTATTCTTTTTCAAATCAGTTCTTTTTTTCCAGAGTATCAGAGGTTTCGCAATGGAGAGTACGAGAATTGTCTCCTCCATGGGTAGGAATTCAAAGTAAAAATGGTTCAGTGCTGATAGTAAAATTGGGAAGGAAATCCTGTAGCTTACTCAGTTTAGATCTGGAGTAATTTTTCATGCCCGTGCCTTTTTGTATATTTCCATTTTCGTAGGCTCAATCTTTCCTAAGTGTAGGATCTTTCTAGCCAGATCTCGGTTTCCATGAAGTAGCCTTTGATGCAACTGGCTTGGCGGTTGGAAGGCGGGGCTTCGTGCTCTAGCTAAGGCCGCTGGCGCCCGCGACGCAGTCTGCGTCTCTCCAGGGCGCGTGCTCTCTGATCATCACGTAGCCTTAATTAGGTCATGAAGTCCCGCCTTCCAGCCGCCAAGCCAGTCAAAAGCTGTGATGAATAGGAATGTAAATAGCACAGGATCCTTGAATTGTGTACATTTCCTTAGTATCTGATGAATGCTCAATAAAAGCTCGTTTCTGAAGTTTCTCAGTCTTTACATTATGGCCAATGATAGGATATCAGTCGCTAGGATGCACTAATTGGAATGGCACAGATCAACCTACAGAAGAGGAAGCACGGTGTTGCGAAAAAGTGTGCTGTTGCTCAAGCAACTGTGAGCACTACCGTAATCATAGTTTAGGCAGTAACTAATACCGCTAAACTATAATAGTATAGACATACTTGCCTTTGATTCAACTGGCTTGGCGGCTAGAAGGCGGGACTTTGTGACCTAATTAAGGCCGCTCGCGCCCGCGACGCAGTCTGCGTCTCTGTCGGGCGTGTGCTCTCTGACCACCACCTAGCCTTAATTAGGTCACGAAGCCCCGCCTTCCAGCCGCCGAGCCAGATCAAAGGGTACACTGCGTTCTACAATTATAGAATACCCGCAGTCAAGGATTCAATTTATATGAAAAATGGAACAAGTTACTTTATGTATGAAAAAGATCCCTGGTTTGAACACATGACAAATTCCCACTCATCGCCTCGTTAAAACTTATGATACGAACAAGCTCCAGGGTCATTCTCCTTTTTGGATTTGGATTTTGGATTTTATTTTACTGTTTTTGGATTTTATCGCATAGTATCTGAATGAGGGGGTTGCACGCAATGAAAGCTTATTAGAAAGCAAGCAATGCATCATAGAAAGTACATGATTTGCTCTCTAAAGCATTGATGTCATGCAATATTATCGTGAGACAAAGAAGTTGAGATTCTCTAGAAATAATGTGAAACTTATGTGTGTCTCATTTCAAAAACCGACCGTTCAGTGAATTCCCTTGCAAGTATTATTTCAATGGTCTTGAATCTTTGCCAAAATTTTATTTACTAGATTGTTTTACAATAAGTGGCATATTCCGCTAAATTATTTGCGATCGCTAAAAGACCACTGCAAAGTCTTGTCAAGTTGTATTCAAAAGTCGCCTTCTAAATACACTTATTTGAAAAAATTTATTACTCTATCATCAAGGAATCACCTCTGAGCGAAAATGCTCCGATGTACACGTTGCTTCAAACAGAAATTTCCAAGCTTGGCCTTTATGTACTGCATAAAGGCCAAGCTTGAAAAAATAGCATTATATCTAGGTCGTTGAGCGGCTGTGTCTTCATTAGCTCTCTTTGTTTTCTAATTTCTAACTACTCTTTCACGTTTTTCCTAGAAATTTTTGTGCTGTAGATCTCTGGTGAAATTTTTCCCAACCTTCTATCCGGTTTTTTTTTCGTGTCATTCTCTTCAGCTCCTACATTTCTTGTAATTCTACTTTGAATTCTCTTCCAATCAATAATCTAGGCATGTCATCACGTAGTGGTAGGTCAAATTCTCAGCCCACTTCAGGTCGTTACTAGAAAAAAGGCTACTGTTCCACAGAGTCAACCTCTTCTAGGCGTGAATTCCATCGATGAAGATGTTCAGGAAGACTTTACAGCTTTGTCTGCCAATGAACTCCTTCAATCGATTTTGGAGAAGAACAAAGACCCGGTTATCAACAGGATGTTGCTGGCACTAAAGGATAAGCTCCCTCAAGACGTGGAGGCTGAAAAAAGGGGAAGGAGCATTGTTTTAGCAGGGCTAGAAGAGTCGGACCCCAGCAAGTCTCTCATGGAACGGAAGGCCGAGTTAGAAGCTGGTGTTGCCAAGGTGTTGGAAACGTTGCGAGTTGACTGCTGGCCCTCAGAGGTTTATAGGATGGGGAAGTACGATGTGGGTCGTCCAAGGCTCGTCAAAGTGGTCTTCCCCTCCCGCTCCTTCTGGCTCCAAGCGCTTTCGAACGCACACCTCTTACGACGCTCCGATTCCAGCAATATTTTTGTTCGAAGAAGTATGACAGCCGAGGAACGAGCCAAGGAGTACGAATTAAGGCAGATTGCGAGAGAGCGGAACAAGGCGAAACCACAGAGGGAATGGGTAGTTTATAGAGGGGAGCTGCACCACATCTCTGAATTACCCAGACGTCAGATTCAGGGAAACGCGTAAATCTGCCCGGTTCTTTTGCACATCTTCGCTGTTTCCTTTTCAACGCTCGCAGTCTGGTTAACAAAGTTCATCTTTTGCACACATTTTTGAGTCTTCACGTTCCTGATATTCTCTTCATCACCGAGACTTGGTTCAATTCCAACATTTTTGATTCCGAAATCACCTGTAATCTTCCATATTCTCTTCATCTGTCGATCGGCCTGTTCGTAGGGGTGGGGGAGTATGCTGCCTAATCAAAGAGGATTTCGCAGTGAAACGAATAAGGACTGGTGATGGGCACAAGTGGGACATGCTTGGCTTGGATCTTTGGTCAGCTTGTTCTCCTTCTCCACTTAGATTTATCCTTATTTATAGACCCCCCTCATCCAACGTTCACGACGATACTATTCTAGCTGATAGTATAATCGACTTATGTGCTGGTCCGCTACCAGCTGTTGTACTAGGAGATTTCAATACTAATTTCCTCTCTGAATCTCTCCTCACCGATCCTCGTTTTCTCTGTTCTCTTCGCGATGGTAACCTCACTCAACATGTGACTTTTCCAACTAGAGGAAACTCAGCCATAGACTTGATTTTCTCAACTCACGAAATAGTTCAAAATGTCAAAGCGCTTCCCCCGTTTGGCTCTTCTGACCACAATGTACTTTCTTTTGATATTACCTTCATTTTCACTGAAAAAATATTTACCCCGTTCCCTGATTTTCGTAGGGCTGATTTCAAAGAAATAAGTAGGTCTCTGCAGAATATTGACTGGTATGTGACTTTTGACAACTACGAAAACGTTGATGACCTCTACCATCGCTTTTGTAGAAAGCTATACTATATTTTTTCTCAGCTTGTACCTTTCCGTTTTGAACCATTTTAACAAAGGACATATCCTGCTCATATTAAAAATTTACTTGAACAGAAAACTAGACTTTTTTCGACTTTGCATGATCCTCTAAATCACCATCTCTACAAAAAAGTTTGTCAAGACATCAACTATCACGTCAGAAAGTTTCTAGCCAATCGGGAACGCCGCCTTTCCAGATCTAATCACAAAGAAATCTATGCATATCTCAGGAGTAAGGTGAAAGGAAGTCAGAAACTTTCTGATTTGATAGATGAAAGTGGTAACATACTCAAGAATGACAGGGAAAAAGCAGAAGCACTGGGCAACTTTTTTGCATCCTTTTCCGCAAATCCAGAAACTAGTAGAGACATGGAGTTACCTCATCCTCCCATTGTCCGTATAAATGCTCGTTGTAATGAAATATGCATTGATCCTGCAAAGGTTTTTGGTATCTTGAGTAAATTGCGTCCCTCTACTACTGTTGTATACGATGGTATTCCTCAAATTATCTATCGCAAATGCGCCCAAGCTTTGGCTTTTCCCCTGTCGCTAATATTCAATGTTTCAATGATGAACGGCGAAGTGCCTAAGCTTTGGAAAGAAGCTTTAGTAACGGCAATACCCAAGTGTGAACGCAATAGTGCACTCCAAAACTTCAGGCCTATAAGTATTACTGCTCCTGCAGGGAAAATCCTCGAAAAACTTGTCAAAGATAAACTGCTTAACTGGTTAGAAAAAAACAATATTCTTCCTTCCGTTCAAATGGGTTTCCTTCCCGGGGGCTCTACTACTGCATTACTTTCAGATACAACTTTGACTGGATCAGTGCTGTAAACAATAATAAATCAGTGGATGTTGTATTTTTTGACTTATCGAAAGCGTTTGATAGAGTTGAACATTCAAAATTACTTTTCAAGCTTGAAAATTACGGAATTCGCGGACAATTGCTCAGCTGGTTTGCATCTTACCTCCATGACAGAGGCATGACTGTTCGCGTTGGAACAAGCTTTTCAAGGCGGTTTCCCTGCAGAAGCGGAGTACCTCAGGGCGGCATACTTTCGCCACTTCTCTTCCTCACATACACCGCGGAATTACCTTCACTTCTCAAAACCCATCCAAATATCAAAATACAGATTTTTGCCGACGACATCAAAATTTACTTCTGCTATAAGGATGAAGAACAACATGAAGCATACACTGCAATCGCTTCTTCTATAGAAAAAATGATTTTTTGGTCAAAGCAATACAATTTACCCGTAAATGCGCTTAAAACCAAAGTGATGCATCTTGGTAATTCTCCTACTCAAACTTATATGTGCGATGGCATCGAGCTGGAATATTGCAGTGGCACTAAAGATTTAGGAGTTTTCGTTGACAACCAGCTCAGGTTTTCTCTCCACAGTGATTCCGTAACCAAGAAAGCTTTATCTGTCCTCTTTCTAGTCCTCAGAAGCATACACAGTATTGACCCGGCTCTTTTAGTGAAATTGTACAAAACTTATGTTTTACCGATTTTAGAGTATGCGTCGCCGGTATGGAGTCCTTTTTTGAAAAAGAATATTGATAAGTTAGAAAGAGTACAGAAGACCTTTTCAAGAATAGTTTTCTACCGATGCTTTCCCGACCCTAATTATCCTCACTCATTACCACCTTACGCTTCTAGACTATCAACCCTAAGGTTACGTAGCCTCAGATACAGACGCGTGTGCCACAACCTGGTCTTCTGTTTTCGCATTTTGCGACTGGAGATCAGGCTTGTACCCAGTAGATACTGGGTTTTTAGGCCATGTCGTAGTCGAGCGGTAGGGTTTGCTTTGGGATATCGTAAACTGGGATCCAAGATTTTTTCTACTGCATTCAACTCTTTCGTTTGTCGGACTGCTAGATGGATAAGTCTATTACCGAAAGACATAACTTCTTCCAAAAGCTCTTTGGAATTTCGCAGAAAGTTAAACTCTGTCAACGTTTTAGAAGTTTTGAATATTTCCGATGTGTGATAATTGCGTTGCCTCTTCAATGGCGCCGCATCTACCTCAGTCTTTCCCAACTTTCGTTTGATTTTTTGTTATGATTTTTTGCAACTGGCTCAACAGTTTTTGGCTATTTACGGCAGATCTTTGGAGTTTTTGCATATTTTTCTCAATACCTAGCACTAAAAAAAGTTTTTTCCTAATGCCCTATTGCACCCGTTTTCGGCAGAATTTAGATCGCTTCTTCGTATGTTAGCCGTTTGATGATATCGACGACTGATGAGCCCTTTACCTTGAGATCCCCCACCCCGCTCGCCCAGGGTCCCTGACGGATTCGTCCGTTCCGGGTTAAGTTGGTCAGCCAAGCCCTGGTAATTGTGACGTCATGATGTTGCGTTCGGGCATGGGAACAGGAGCTCGGCAAAGGTACCCCTCATCGTTCGAAGGAGGAGAACGACCTGAAGAACCAGGAGGACGATCATTGTATTCTGTCCAGACGGTCCACTTATGTTACCTTTGTTGTTTTACTTTTGGAACACCATGTGTGTATACATAAATAAATAAATAAATAAATAAATGGACTCGGATTTATTTTTACTCAAGTTTGAGTTTGTAGAAAATCTGCCAAAAAATACAGAATTTTAGAAATATGTTGTTACTTTTCGCTATGATATTCTAACTTCTCATTTGTTTCCGTGTAGTGGCTGCAGATTATGTGAAACTAACTTTCACACCCACAGCAATTTTCTTGAAAACTTTGCACAGTTTCTTTTCAGGAAGTGGCTCGCTTTCCGCCTTCGTGAGGCCTAAAGCTTCGTTGAAAATGAAAAAGAGGAGCGAAAATTATAGGTCTTGCATGAATTAACTTCACATTCATTCTTATCGCCAGTATGTCCAAGGAGAATGATACGATCAAGGGCGATTCTCACGGTACGTTCGTCGGTCTCTTTATGAACTAATTAGTAAGATGCAGTTGCACCGCCGAAGGTAAAGCCAGATGAAAAAGTTGCTGTGAATGCTGCCGAAAAAGTGGGAGAAGAAGCCGAGGGCAAAATCAAGTTCCTCTGTTGGAAACTTCACAAAAAAACCAGATTCAGGAAGTCCGTTGTTGGGGTAGTACTTATTGCAGTTGACCTACAAAAAAAACTTGTAGACAACTGTTACCTATGGAACCGTTATGCTGCTTGTCTTCTGCTATAATAAGAGAGGGAGCCGGATCCGCCGCGTTTTTGGAGGTAATCGTTGACCTGTATGGAACGACTATTCAAATCGATATTACTAGCAAATTTCAAATATTGCAGTTCTGCGGCGCTCTCATCACTACTGCGGTAATTTACTTGCACGTGTGGAAGAAACACTTCGAATTGTGGGCTCCACTACCAAGACATTCCATCAAAGAGTTCTTTTTACATCCAGCGTTCTATCACATCATTTGCGTACACAATGCTGTGAGTAATGCGACATAGCTTTATATATTCAAAGAAGAAATTCTCAAAGCTCTTTCAGATTCTGGCATTGAGTATATTGTTCCTGGCACTAGCTTTGTGTACATTCAGCAAGGTAAGCGGCGTCAATTCTCCAAAAACTGAATGCAGGTGCGACTATCATACCTTTGGGCAATCTCATGCGATTCTGTAAAGAAGGACTGCAGTTTCAATCTCGGATCTCTTGCGACTCTTTTGATATCTAAATATCGCAGTTTCCGTATCCTCTTCGAGCTTGGAACGATGCTTTCAATCATCGATAGAATTTGCTCGACTTTAGCGGATACAAAGCTTATGGGCATACATTCAACTATTAGGTCGTTCCATAAGTTTGTAGGGTTTTTTATAAACCAACAAAATCATCATTTTACAGTGAAAATCAATCCAAATTCTATTCCTTGTTGTAGCCACGACCTTTTTAGCTTCTCCACCTCAATTTTTCAAACTGCAGCGCGCCGGGTCCCAAGAAAGTCATCTAACCAGCGCTCAAACTACTTACTGATCGAGACAGGCACCATTCATGACGTTTGCCAGAGAGCGGAGCAAATAATAATCTGATAGAGCGAGATTTCGAGAGTACATTGGGTACTAGAGTACATTCCAGTCAAATCGTGGAGGACACTTTTGACGACGTTTGCCGTATGACGCCTTGTTTCGTCATGCAGAAAAAACTCACTGGATCCTCTGTTAGTGTTTTTCCGCGATAGGACCTACTTTAGATGGTGCAGTTGGATTGCTTACGGTATGGGTGACCATGGCCTACGTGTACAGCAATTTTCAGTGCAGGACGTCCTGCCCATCCCCCGAAAAGTCTGGTTCAGGGAGAACCGGCTCAGTCCCTGATCTTTTGTAGCAATCCAGTCTTTTTTGTCCCATACTGATGTGCGAGTGCCATTTTCCATAATCGACACAGAAATCTGTGTAAAAGGCTTCTTTTCATAAGGAAAATTGCTCAAATGCCGAAATTGCTCCTTTTTGCCTTTCAAGATTTCCATCTTTGGAAGCTGCGAGATCCGAGTGAATCAGCTTTGCACCGAAATCTGTATGGTATTTTAAAGAGCACAATCAGCCCTTCCAAGTAATATAAGCATCTTGCCGCAAACCATCCGCTCCTTAAAGATATGAGGCGAAAATGAAAACGCTACGAACCTATGGACCTAATATAATCAAGTCATTATTCAGAGGAGCTGTTCAATAAGGGCGAGTTCGCGGCCTTATATCTCTGCAAGTTGTAGGGTTGGGGTAATCTCATGTGGTCATTGACATGTACTTTTGATAGCTCTATTTTCCTAGGGAAAGCTCGTGCCCACAGCTTCAGTGTAGGAGGCGCTATATAAAGGCGATGATGCATATTTTGGATTTTATCTCCGTGGAGAGTAGGGATGACGGGTTGGGATAGCCATTCTTCAGTTTGTATTCGAGGGTGACACCACATATAATTCGGAGAAAACGCAGAGGCTCCATCTGTAGGAGCCCATCTATAACTTCCCGGACTTTTAATTCAGGCTCTCGCAATTTCTCCTCTTTTTCCCCCCTCATTTTTCCCTCTTTCTTTATTACTACAGCGCGTGTGATAGTTAACCGGCGGTCATCTAGACCTGGCTAGGGGGCTGAGAAGGGCTAAAAGGGGGTAAATAGGGCTAGAAAAACGCGAATTTTTCTTATTTTTCCTTATTTTCTCTTATTTTCCCTTATTTTCCTTACTTTTGATCGTGATGTGAGGTAGAAAATAGGCGGAGCTTTTGCTGTTTGGAGGAGTTTCAGCTGTATAAAAGCACTGGAAATGAGCTTATTATAGAGTTTTTCAAATTTTTCGCTTAGTTTTTCGCCCATTTTACCGATATTCGGGATTTCGGAACCTCCAGAATATCGATTTTATCGATTTTTGTTTGTTGGGATATCGTTTTTTGTCGATTTTCGGAATTTCGCAATCTCCAAAATATCGATTTTTGTCGATTTTTGCCGATTTTCTGGATTTCGAACCTTGAAAATATCGATTTTATCGATTTTTGCCGATTTTCGGAATTTCGCAACCTTCAGAATATCGATTTTTGTCGATTTTCGGGATTTCGCAACCTTTTGAATATCGATTTTATCAATTTTTGAGGATTTGGTGCTTCATTACCCTCCAAAATATCGATTTCTCGCTCTTTAGCTGTGAACTGTGAATCCCGCCCACTTATGATGTTACTATACAATACCGCTCACAGAATGTGCGGAAATTTCGGGAATTTCGCGACATTCACGGAAATTTTGCAAGTTATGTGGGTGGTATTGCATATACATAGCCCAAATTCGGCGTCATGTGATTGTTTGTGCGCTGTAAACAAGCCATATGTTTGTTTGGGTCTTATGTTTGAAATTCGCGCGCTTGTGAAAGAACATTTAACTCGTAAAACCTGACATGGTCGTTTTTTTTTTCGGTGCTTCGCCCAGGACCTTATAAAAACGATATCCCCGTTGCTTCTAACCTCAAAAACGAAGTCCAGTTTGACTCAGGACCATCTGTGCCGGGCCCTGCGCAGTGACCGTAACTCGCGAATAACCTGAGGACGGGTCCCAGAGCGAACGCAGCGTTAAAGTGAGCGAAATTATTTGCGGTTACGGTCACAATGTAGGCACGGAGGGTTAGCGGATGGATTTCTCAGCCGTGAGTGAACCATTTGCGCTGCCACTTGTGCAATACCTTAGGACCCCTCTTCAGTTTCCAGACGAAAAATCCATGTGCTCAGATTTGCCTGGCACTGCCTTTGATAAGGAGTCGGTTTGCTTCAAAACCGTTTAGACCTCCCTCCGCGTCTTGAGAAAACGAATTAGATACATTTAGGCTCACGGCGATATTGGCGTCAACTGATGCTTTGTTGACCCGATTAAGCGAGATTTCATGATTCCAGCTTCTGAGAAAACTCTGAGGCAGGCGAATCTGGCACGTACTTTCCCTGTTTATTTTATGGGACCTGAGCTACCACTGTCAAGCGGCAGCTCAAAAACATATCCACTGTCGTAATTCACCTCCAAACCTGTCTCATGGTAGCGCGCATCTGCTTGCATGTCTTCCCGCGGGACCCATGCCCATGTCCTGTGTTTCCGCGCAAGGCATGCCAACCGATGCAAGCCGTTCGCTCAGACAGTATGGCGGACATTGGTTGGAGATGAACTTCTCAGTCTATATGGATTATATGCCAAAGACGGTAAGTACGATTTCGAAGATGAATCCCTCAGCCTTGCATCAATTATTTGTGATGCCGGTTGGGCAGTGCCGTAGTCAGAGCACCAAAACAGTGTTTCCGCATAAAGTGCTTTAAACCAGATCTGCCTAACTATGGTCTGGCTTTGGCTGACTTAGAGCTCAATATATTACTTACAAGGTAACGGTCATAAATCGAAGTGGCCAATTCAAGCAAGCTGCATATCATTAAATGCAGCATTGAATGCTGACTCTAAATCTGTCCTTCTTATCTGCAGAACCTTTTGTGAATAAAGTTATAAGCCGTTAAAGGTCATTATTTTGCCAAGAAATCGTGCGTGTAAAAGGCAAACTTTGTTGTACAGAGCCATTGTTGGCTCAGTGCAGGACCAAAACATGCGGTTTCCTTGCAGAGTTGATAAATTTGTCCACTGATCAAATAGGCTGTAGCAGTCAATTCCATGCAGTTCTTTCAGAGTCTGATGACCATCAAGTACTACTACTGCCATGTTTCCTTGATTCTGCATCTCCTCGCATTGCTATTCTCGTTATATGTGCTATGCACACCTGGAACTATCAAATGGACTTACACCGCCGCTGCGCTCGTCTTTTGTTTTTCTGCCCAGATAGTGCTGGAGTTGTGGGCTATTGCAGTCATTGGTGCTTGCAAGGATTTCTTCAAAATGGTTGATACTTTTTCTTCTATGGCGGGTGTTTGAAGCATACCTGCAGTATTGTTTGCTTTGATGATGTGAGCAAGAAACTGTCGCAATTTTTTAGGATTTTTATGTAGGTATCAATACGTTTAGAAGTAAAGTGACATAGCACATGTTCTGCTTGGTACATTACCCATTACATTTCTACGCAAATAAAGAGCCTCAAAATCATGCGTACAGTGTATTTTCACGAAAAAAACACTTAACGCGGGTTTAACCAACATTTAGCGCAACTGCGCCAGTTTAGGATAATGCAATTTAACTTACTCTAAATGCAACGGCGTGTGCAAGCAGATACATAGTCAGAACGTGCGATAAAAATATCTACCACTTTCGCATGCTTTTGAGGTAACTCCATCAAAAAAAAAAGATTTTCACCAACTTCTGCTGAAGCCAAAAGAGGAGTTAAGCTTACAACTCAAAGAAAAAGAATTTTGGGGGTTTATCGCGTACCCTAGAAAGGCTCAGGCAGCCAATCTTTTGAAGGAATGTGCTCAACTTCTTCAATTTCATCCCAAAAAAGCTTTAACAGGTGAGTATGTCAAATTAGCACAAGCCTGCTGAATTTAACGCTTGTTTGCGGCTATCTCTCTGTTTTGGCCTTGTAGTTGTCTGCGAAGCCAGAAGATTCAAGCTAAAAATGCAATGATCAGACTTTTGTCAGCTCTCCTAAGTACTGTGTACACCAAAGGGCTTGTATTCTAGTATTTTTCTATATCAAACAAAACTCAACAACACAGGTTTGCAGTAACTTCCTCGCTTTTATATAATTCAAGTTTTTCGAAAGGCGAAAGACAAGTGCCACTAGGTTACTTATATATTTGCAATTTTTTGTCATTATTGAAGGGTGGATTTTGCGAAAGCACCTGTTATGGTGAGCAGTGCGAAGTCTCGCTTTGCAGAGATAAATTTGTTTCAGGTTTTTTCCAGTGTCAATTACGGAATAAATTGTAAACACCAAGAAATTGGATTTTTGTGCTCAGCTAAACGACTCTTTGTGTGATTGCAGCATTCTGTGGCGTGCGAGCCAAAACTGAAAATGGTTCTCAAGTCACCGTAGTATGAATTCAGGCAAGGAGACTTTGGTGCACCTCGTATTTTGATTGTAAGCGAAAGTGAAACCTCTAACATATAGAAACGCGTAACTTTTTTTGAAATATGCAAAATTCAAGTGAAAAAAAATGGTTTTCAAAGCTCCGAACAGCAGGGTGGAAGCACACAAGAGCACTATTATATAGTCCAAAATTTGTCTTATTTATTACATCTACCCATCTCCGGAAGTCTAAAATTATCCTTTTGAAAATCGGCCCAACTTCGAGCTATAGAAATAACTGATGTAGAATTTTGGCAATTACCGAAGATCGCAGTGCAGATTGTAGTTCAAAATGCAAAGTTCAGAAAGAGAAGAAAATGTTGTAAGAGAAAATGCTGTAACGAATGCATGTTTGAATGCATCCAAGTCTCCAAGTTTGAATGCATTTTTAAAAAATTTACAAAATTATTTAATTACGTACAAGTGCGAACAAGTCATTGGCACTTCTCATAATTCGTGCAATATGTCCCTTTTTGAAAGGCCGGAATAAATTATGTGCCTTCCCTGTAACTAAAATCACCTTGCGATATGAGATGGATACTACCTTCTTGAAGATTATGAAACGCTGGTTCAGACAACCTTCCTTATCTGCTGCGCCGATGTGAATTGTAACATTTTTTCTACGACTCAAATGATTTTCGGCTTACTCTGCTTGAAGGCAGCGTCCAGGCAAGTGAGCACATGAGGATCTCACGTGGATAGTAATTTTGGGGCCCTAACTAAGCTACTGCCCAACCTGCAGCTCAAGTAGTGCTCTAACGCCTTGGATACTCCCCTCGAAGCTATACCCCGCGATCGTATTCCGCATGGATTCATGGCGCAAAGCGTGGATCCTGGCGCGAAACTGCCATGAATCTATGCAAATACGATCGCGGTGTCCAGTTTCGAGAGGAATATCTCAGCCGTTAGAGCACTACTTGCGCTTCCGCTTGGGCAGTGCCCTAGTTAGGGTCCCAAAAGTACTTCCCACGTAAAATCCCCATAGGTCCAGATCTGTCTGGACGCTGCCCTTAATAAATTTCCTAATTTGAACATACTCACTCAACTCGCCACTTCGAAACGCTAGGAAAAGTCAGCGACTGATTTAACACTGATCATGCATTGAATTTTCCATGAAAACGTTCAAGGCTTAGAAGCCGGCAGCAGGTAAGAAAGGTATATTTGGAATCAGCGTTTCGAACCCTAAAGACAGTAATGCAAGTAATCTGCAATGAACTGAGACTACACCTATCCAAAAAACCGTGTGCACTTATGCAGTCATTAGAAAATGCATAGGAGACACTATAAAAGTCGGTAAGCGTGTAAAAGAAGTGTGTAGATGTCTAAAAGAGTGTAAGAATATATCCACATTAAAATACCTATTATTTTGGGTTTGAACAAGAAGCTATTACTATGATAAACTAAGTTTTGCAGCCTTTTTCGTGAACTTTCTTTGAATATGGTGCACTCAAACTTTGGAGAACACATAATATTAGGGTGTATTAGAGCAAATTTTTTATCGTTTTACCCTAAACATCAGGATTTCTCGAAAACTGTGGCACCTATAAAGTTGACAAATACATGAGCGTACTTCTGTATGTGTGGGCTATATGATCACGTGCGTGAAGGGAGCTCAGGAGGTTTAAGGGCGAGTTTGCCAGTTTACCGCATTCATTTTTTTCTTTATTTCTGGCCATGGAAAAAAATACGGAAATAGCACAGTTGAATATAGAATAAATGGGGAATTTCAAAGACATTCTGGTGGCGGAGATACGAGTTTTGCAGGAAAAGTTCGTTTTCGACTGCTACCGAATCTCAGCTCAAAAATTCTATTGAAATACGATTTTGAAGGACTTTCCATGGCCAACTTGTACAGCTTGCTTTGCCCTGTCGAATGATTACTCAAGCCACATTAGTTGAAGAAAAAGTACAAAGAGACGACGGTTATAGTAAAAATGGTAAGTTATGGGACACCCTAATAGATAAAAAAAATTCATGTTCCGAAAGCTTTGAGGCCTTTCGTAACGCAAGATTGCAGTCGTCGTGCAACTTGCCTTGAGCTCTTTGAGAAAGGTGTAAGCATATTGTTACCAAGCTCGCAACAACCTAAGCCCAATAGGAAAACATATTCGTTCAAGGGAAGTTTGAAAATGAAGTTCTGGAAAAACTTGGAGAAGTAGCTGTTTTGGGTCTGCTGCGAAATCCTCCAACACTAAAGAAGAGGATTTTAGACGCTGCTATTACTAGTAAAGAAGTTTAATCTGCAATCTTATAAAGAAGCCTACATGCAGAAGAAATGTTATTATTTTATTTTTGCGATCAGCATGCGAATTGCTTCCGTTTATCAAGCTGAGCCGGCCAAATTTTTAGCTGAAACTTTGCCCAGTGCTTTATATATTGAAGCTCTCAGTGTGAGGCTACATGATGTCACAAATTGTCTCTTTCACACTTGAAAAGAGAAAAGTCATAACAAAGTTGCAAGATTTAGTGGTCAGTCTCCTAGAAGTGGCGTCCCAGAAAACAGCACTCTCAAACAACGTGCAGCTATCACTTGCAACTCTCTCCTTGACCTTTCCCAAACAGCCTCAAAGATACCAAGTAAATTGCAGACTCGCGTTAGGCCCCGGGCAGACTTCACGCGATTTGATCGTCGCGACTGAATCGCGACGAGACAACTGTACAACATCATTCCATGCCGATCTTGCATCAACTTGCATTCGGTTGTGATACTTTTTCAGCCCGAACTTTTTGAATGTAAAATGAAAATGAATGGAAATCTTGGCGGTTAGATCGCGACGATTAAGTCGCGTGAAGTCTGGCCGGGGCTTTACGCGACAGATTCAGTTGGTACTAGACAGGATTCTGTCTCGAACATCTTTTACTCCGCTACATACTGCGGAAATGAGAGGAACACTTAGGTAAAAGATTACTTAATTTGGAATAAGAAAATCAGGCCTTGTTTTGGACCTTATTCATTCATTTTTCACATCACCAGAACAACAAATCAACAAATAGAAACTGACGAACATGGAATTCTAAAATCAATGAGGGGTTTGCCATCAATAACAGAATGCCCTTAATAACAAAAAAGAACGCCTATGAGACAACAGCAACTAATAAGTCTTTAAGAGAAATGCTTAGGCCTTCTAATAGGTTGATGCATAATTCCTGTACCAAAATAGGTATAGACGGCAGTAATCTGGAATAACCCTATCTCAGATAGGATTCGATATATCATATAGAGCAACCCCAGCTCTATAAGATAGTATACTTGGGTCCGAATCGAATAGAAATTCGATCATTCGAATAAAACATTCGAATATATTCGTATTCGAAATTCGATATTCGGAGTTCTTCCATTTTCGAATAATATTCGAAACTCGAATAATCAAGAAACAGGGTTTCGAATAAAATTCGAAAACTCGAATAATCAAAAAATGAGGTTTCGAATATTATTCGAAAACTCGAATAATCAAAAAACGAGGTCTCGATTATTAGTCGAAAACTCGAATAATCAAAAAACGGGGTTTCGAATAGATTTTATTCGAATGTTTTATTCGAATGTTTATTCGAATTCGTATTCGAATGACTCCGTATGCAGATTATTCGACTTTGTTGCAGAGCCAACTGCTGAGTATCATGCTAACTTCGTCCGCGTTTTATTTCGCAGAACTCGATAATGCATCTTTTGCAACCGTTATACCTTTGAACTGTATGGAGAGTCGTAAAAAATCACATGTGGATTTTAATTGATGTAGAAAGTAGAGCAAGCCCTTTGCTTTTACATTGTTGATGCTGATAAGAAATAATTCTGGTGTACAGTCTCTTTCAGACCATCTGTAGAAGAATCTTTTGGGCACAGTATTAAAATTTATATCGACTGCTTTTTAGATCGTCCATAAGGGGTAAAATATGAATTTTGCTGATGTAC